TTTTGAGGTCTCTACCCACTCTCTAATTCCTCTCACAATTCAAGCATTATTATTCTGCCTTCAAATTCCAGGATTACGCTATTTTTCTGAAACGATACCTTGAAAAAGTAGCTACATAAATCTATCGGTTTGCTGTAGTAGAAGTTTCTGTAGGATCTCAGCAAATACATGCCACATATCAGAGGAACAAGGCATTCCTCAGTCTTCACTGCAAGTCACTTATTTTGTTTTTAAGATATTTAGTTTTTACAGCCCTTTACATTGTTTTAAAATTGTACAAGTGTCATGATGGATGAGTCTTTATTGTGATGGTTTATAAAACTGCCAGTTAGCATCAAGTGATCTGGATAAATCTTGTTAGCTAAAGAGGGCTTTGGCTATTCTCCAATGAACACATACATATGAAGGGTGAAATCCTGGCCACACTGAAGTCAATAAGAATTTTGCTATTAACTTAAGTAGGGCCAGACTCTCACTATAGGTATTATAAACCTGTTCACCAAGCATGTCATTAAACCACTCACTGAAATACATCATTTTATGACAGTATTAGTACAATAATTAAACTTGTAATACTTCCAAGTTTAGAAAGAAATATTTGAGGGCTAATGCCCACATTTTCAAACTTAGTTGTTTAAAGTTAAGTCCAAAATCAATATAGAGGTGTCCAAATAAATGGCCCAATTTTAAGAGGTTCTGAATTCCCATTAATGTCACGGGGAGCTGAGCATATTCTTCATTTCTGCACATTTCACTTTCACTGAAACATTAGATATAAGTTTAGTTAAGTCTTAGGTGTCCACATTTGAAACTACTGGCTTAGATTTTTAGTCGGACTCTAGATGGTTTCATTAGCTGTATGGCAAGTTTCATGGTCAACATTTAAACATGCAGTTATTAGTATTACACACACATTCACTACTGCATTTGGTCCTGGGTATTGATCCATTAATACCTGACTTCTTCTGAGTCACACCTTCTGTTCCCCTGTCCCTATCTCCTTCTCTGCAGCCTCCATTTGCCTCCATATTTCTTTTTCCAGTCAACTCCTGAGACCTTGTCTCTATTTTTTGTGAAAAGATCTCTGTCCAACCCAACACCCATGTTTTTACTGAAAGATAGACCTCAAAAATGGAATTTAGTTAATTTAAGATGTGTGAGATTATGGAAGTCATGGATCAGCTTTTATAGGGTAAGAGGGACTATGGGAATGGGAGCAAAAACCACTCCCCAAAATTGAGAGTAATGAAAAAAAAACTTGCAGGAAAACAGGAGGAGAGTTCTAAGGAATGAGCATGAAAGAGACTCCCGAGGTTGAAGAGGGCATGAGTATCCCTCATCTGGATGGGGATCAAAGAATTTACTGAGTAGGAAAGAATTACAGAGGGTGAAGAGAGCCAAAGGTAAAAATCCTGGCCTAACTGGAGTTAATGGGAACTTTATCATTACTTCAGTGGGCCAAGGTTTCACTCCAATGCACACAGAATAACCTGCTGTGATTTTTATGAAGTTTTTAAAAATAATACTGAAGATAGCTTTTTGAGAAAAAAAAAAGATTGGATTTTGTCTGTTTCTGATGTGACACAGACACAGGCATTTGGGTTCCTAAGTTCTGTTATACTGCATTTATTGGTATTTTAACAGGATATAATTTACCACACTGCTGGGTTATTTCAGTGGATAAATGCATACCAGGTGCTTGCTTTTACTTTTTAAATACAGTTTTGGTTCTGAAATGTCTAAAAATTGTTTGATACACAGTAAAAGCTGTGTTATCTGGCACTTTACCAACCGGAATGCTCTTTCAACTGGCATCTGTCCCACCATGGTACTTCCGGTTTCGCCGCCACAAGCCGAGTCCCACTTCTTCCTTGTGGACCATGGCCCAGGGCAAAGCAGCCTGTGTGGGGCCCCCCTCCCTGTCCCCTGGCACACTGATGCCAGGGAGTGAAAGCCCTGGCACACCAGACATGGTGGCGGCCCAAATAGGCAAAGACGCCCCCAACCCGCCGGGCTGAAGATAAGCCCAGGAAAAAGCCAACCTATTAAATAGGTACTTTGCATCAGTCTTTCATCAGTCCCATGGGACGCCCATGCCCGCTACAGGGCTGGGAAGTCCGGGTGAGGGTGATCCCCTGCCCTCCTTTAATGCTGACTTTCTGAAGGAACATCTTGAGATGCTGGATACCTTCAAGTCAGCTGGCCCTGACAATCTTCACCCCAGGGTACTCAAGGAGCTGGCGAGCATCATAGCCCAGCCTCTAGCACGGATCTTTGAAAACTCTTGGCGCTCTGGTGTAGTGCCCGAAGACTGGAAGAAGGCCAATGTGGTGCCTATCTTCAAGAAAGGGAGGAAAGTGGATCCGGCTAACTATAGGCCCATCAGCCTGACTTCTATCCCGGGGAAGATCTTAGAAAAGTTTATTAAAGAGGCCATCCTTAATGGACTGGCCAACGCCAACATCTTAAGGGATAGCCAGCACGGGTTTGTTGCGGGTAGGTCTTGCTTGACCAATCTCATTTCCTTCTACGACCAGGTGACCTATCACCTGGACAAGGGAGAAGAGATTGATGTCATATATCTTGACTTCAAAAAAGCCTTCGATCTGGTGTCCCATGATCGCCTCTTGGAGAAACTGGCCAATTGTCGCCTTGGGTCCTCCACGATCCGCTGGCTGGAAAATTGGCTCCGGGGTCGGACCCAGAGGGTAGTAATCGATGGAAGTCACTCATCGTGGTGTCCTGTGACCAGTGGGGTCCCCCAAGGCTCTGTCCTTGGACCCATACTGTTCAACATCTTCATTAATGATGTGGACACTGGAGTCAGAAGCGATCAGAACTGGCCAAGTTCGCCGATGACACCAACCTCTGGGGCAAAGCATCCACACCAGAAGACAGGCAGGTTATCCAGGCTGACCTGGACAGGCTCAGCAAGTGGGCGGACGAGAATCTGATGGTGTTCAACGCCGATAAATGCAAGGTTCTCCACCTTGGGAAAAAAAACCCGCAGCATCCTTATAGGCTCGGCAGTGCTATGTTGGCTAGCACTATGGAAGAAAGAGACTTGGGGGTCATCACTGACCACAAGATGAACATGAGCCTGCAATGCGATGCGGCGGCTAGTAAAGCGACCAAAACGCTGGCTTGCATCCATAGATGCTTCTCAAGCAAATCCCGGGACGTCATTCTCCCCCTGTACTCGGCCTTAGTGAGGCCGCAGCTGGAGTACTGTGTCCAGTTTTGGGCTCCACAATTCAAAAAGGATGTGGAGAAGCTTGAGAGAGTCCAGAGAAGAGCCACGTGCCTGATCAGAGGTCAGGGAAGCAGACCCTACGATGACAGGCTGAGAGCCCTGGGGCTCTTTAGCCTGAAAAAGCGCAGGCTCAGGGGTGATCTGATGGCCACCTACAAGTTTATCAGGGGTGACCACCAGCATCTGGGGGAACGTTTGTTCATCAGAGCGCCCCAAGGGATGACGAGGTCGAATGGTCACAAACTACTTCAAGATCGTTTCAGGCTGGACATAAGGAAGAACTTCTTTACTATCCGAGCCCCCAAGGTCTAGAACAGCCTGCCACCGGAGGTGGTTCAAGCGCCTTCATTGAACACCTTCAAGATGTAACTGGATGCTTATCTTGCTGGGATCCTATGACCCCAGCTGACTTCCTGCCCTTTGGGTGGGGGGCTGGACTCGATGATCTTCCGAGGTCCCTTCCAGCCCTGATGTCTATGAAATCTATGAAAGTATAACTCTCAGATAACTGGCATATTTGATTAACCAGCCCCACCCTATTCCGCATGGATGCTAGATAACAAACTTTTACTGTATATGAAATTGCACCTATGGGTACCAAAAATTGCTTTAATTTTATTTTTTGCCACCCTCATGCTAGAATACCATATTCTCCTCACTTTCACTTGACTGGCTTCTGTCCAACTATATATTTTTTTTTAAGCTACGTTTTTTTAATCTACTCAGCTGCATGATTCAGCATTACTTATATAAATAAAGTACAGTAACTGATATGGAAGCAACATGATAAACTCATGACAGACGTCTCTTTGGGTCTTCAGTGAATGCTATACCTATCAAGTGAGATTACATCTACTAGATATTAGTGCATGTGTCTAAGTAGCTAGTAGATAGCTCAAGTACTTCAAGATTTTAAGAACTAACAACAACAGCTCAGATACAGTCATATCCAAAGTCCACTAAAGCCAATAGGAACTCTTTGTGCTGGCTCAATGAGCTTGGATTGGAGTTATAGAAACAAGAAGTATCATCCACAATTTCACACTTAAGAGAATTTCAGGCAAAGTGAGACTTTAACATAGCCACCAAGAAGAGTAGGAACAGAGACATAAATAGAACAGCCCCAGCTCTTAGCGCTCTTGCCACTATCCCAGACTGCTTCTCTTTATTGAAGAATCTGTGCACACCTCTGTATCTAAGCCCAAAAGCAGTATCAGAAGAAATGCACAACTTTTACAGACAATCAAACAAGTAACCCTAATGCAAAGCCCACTAAGAACACTGTAAAGATTCTCATTTTTAATGGACTTTGAATCAGGCTCTAATGAGACACTGCAAAAGCCAAGATCTCAACTTGTACAGGTTGGTTAATCCAGAGCAATGGGAGGGCCAGGATATGGAGAAGCAGTAAAGAGATAAAAGAAGAGAGAAAGAAGGAGAGCACATAGAAAAGCAAAAGTCAACGGGGCAGGCCACCAACAGGGGAGGTAGGGGGCCCACAGGGGTGGTTCAGACAGCAGTCAAATTGCACAGTCCCATCACATTTCATTTATAAAGACAGTGGCAACATGGAACAGAAGATGAGAAAGATAGATGCTACTGGTGCTGCTACTTGCAACTCAGTTGCCAGACTCAGTAACCATTTTTTCCTCTTGTCCCACATACCGGGGCATGGCGGGGGTGGGACTTAGGGTTGTAAAAATCCCCACTGTCTATTTCAAAATGAAATAATCTTCACAGTGCTTACAATAGCTTTCTGCCTCTGCCTCTCCCTTTGTTTGGCCCTTTCCGATTCCCGTTTTTCATACTCTTTGCGGTATTCTTCCCTCTTCAGCCTTTCATGCTGATATTCCTCATAGCTGTCATATCTACAAAACAAATGTATCATGTAAATAAGCATTTGAATTTTACAAAGTAAAATTAATCATACAATTTCTAGAATGTCTCGTTATTACACAAGAACAGAATAAAAAGTGAGCCAAATGCAAACAGAATGGACTACCTGGGTCTACGATTACCGGGTGATCTGGATCGTGACCTTGCATGTAAGGGAGAACTTTTGTATGCTCGGTGTCTACAGTGGCTGGACTCATAATAGTAACAAGATCTGTAAGAAGAAACACAGAAGCCATTTGCTACTGCCATTTAGTATAAATCTACTGACATCATTTTCTCTACATACTACCTGGACCTACAATTTCTTCCAAGCTACCATTTAGATTTTCTAGTGACAGTTTTTGATCTCCTAGTCAACTTAGGGGCCTAGAGTAATATCGTTTTCTCCCCTTTGAAGTGTCCCTTATTGATGCTAACACAGCATCAAATCAGCCATTGTCAACTTTATCTTATATGGATTCCAGTTAGATTGTCAAAGGGCAGCTTGCAGATAATGGAAAAAAGTCAGCTGAGGAAATTTCTCACCAGCTGCTCTGCCTCTGCTCTGACTAGCTTCACTAAGAGTGTGCAATATTGGCAAGTTTAAAGGATAATGTCAACAAATGTTTGCCTAACAATCTCATTATCTTCAGTGTTAATAAGCTCAAATCAGTAAGAAGGGTTCCTCTGGATTCTGTTGCTTCTGCATTTATTATACATATATCACATATATATTACAGCCTTCTCCTTTATATTACTATACTTGCATTTTTATACTGTACCTTGAAGAGGATCTGCTACATGGCGATCTTGATCTCGATCGGGAATATGGAGAACGGGAACAAGACCTGCGTTGAGGAAAGGACCTTGATCTAGAGCGTATCCTTTGGGATCTTTGAGAAAATAAAGATTTGGATGGAGACACTGAATCTCTGCATGGAGAGTTAAAAGAAGAGCAAGAAGGCGATACATCAAACAAAGAATAGGCTTGTGTCCCATCCCAAGGGTAGCATAGTTTATCACTTTCATCTTCACTATCATCAAAGAGACCATCCATTGCTAGTCCTGAATTTATAAACATAGGTAGTTTGGAGAACTGTTCATTACTATAATCACTGTCCCTCAGTTCACTGGTCTTATCTGCCTCTTCTTCAAAAACAGCTTGGCTGGGGTGACCAAAGTGCTTATTCAGTTCAGCCCGGATTTCCTGGTCTTGGAGCTGCTTTCTATTATTGCAGTGGGAACCCTGCTTATTTGTCTGTAAAGTCTCTTTCTTGTAATACTGGTCTTGTTCTAAAGAAGAACAAATCTGACACTGCCATGCAGGTGAAGAATCCTTAAATTCTAGTTGTCTGGACTCCTGAAGTTCCTGGGATATTTTAATATGTATTTCTGATTTTGAATTCACAGACTGACAATAGTCGTGGTCACCAAACAGCCGCAAACTAGGCCGTTTTGTCTTTCTCTCCTCATGTCCACTGGACAGTACTGTTGTCTTGCTGAGCTGTGCATACAGCTCAGACTGTTCTGCACCCTTCTTGATTGGGTTATTTCCTTGAGAACTGGAAGACTCACTATAGCGAGGCTTTTTTGGAGGTGGTACAATAGTCTTGCATGATGACTTCGGCTTAGGTGAAGTCCTAAAAGGATTATCTTGGTTGGCTTTGTGAGGAGGGGTCGTAGGTGGAGTTAGGCCTAAAAAAAGAAGATTTTTTTAAACAGAGAAAAATGCTTTTACAAAAATGTATATTTTTCTTTGAAGAAGATGATACACTAAGCCTCTTTCACCATAAATTGATATTAGTAGGATGTTATGCACCAACAATAATAGTCTTTAGTGCTTCCAACTCCAATACTAAATGACACCAAACATTAACACATTGCCATCAAGATCTCCAATGTTATTTGTCACTTTTTCATCAACATTTTTTTTCATTTATATTTTCTTACATTTATATATATAAAATATAAGTTGTACCCTAGCTACAGAATTGTTTTTTTTTCACAAGGCAGACAAGGTTCTTTGGGTGAATCTGATATCTTTTATTAGACCAACTTAAATAGTTGGAAAAACATTTTAGCAAGCTTTCAGCTTAGCAAGCAAGCAACAATTTAACACCTTCAATTGGAAATGTGGCAAATCTCTTTGTACAAACCAAGGCAAGAGGACACTTAGCACTTTTTCACTGTAAAGATGAACAGAGAAGCTTTAGAAGATCATAAATGTATTTATTCATATAAGTTCATTGCTCCTTCAGGGTTAAAATCCCTTCGTCAGTCTGAAGAAGTCTCAGGCTGAGGGAGACGTCTTCAGCTTGACAAAGGGTTTTTAACCCTGAAAGCTTGCTAAATTTCTTTTCCAACTATTTAAGTTGGTCTAATAAAAGATATCAGATTCACCCAAAAAGCCTTGTCTGCCTATGTCCTTAGACCAAAACAGCTACAATGTACACCCCTTTATTTTCACATGTTTATGAGGGAAGATACTTTTAGCATTCACTGCATTTGTTTTTTTTCCTCCTCAAACCAATGAAGCATGTCCCAAGGCTAAAGAAATTAACATTTAAAAACTTGGATGAAAACAAAACTGGAAAAATTTAAACAAATGTTACCAAAGTAACTTCTGTAATAAACAGAGCATTAATGCAAGGAAGTACAACAGCTCTACAACTTGACTGCAATGATTCTTTGTCTTCACAGTTCATTAACTTAGTAAACCATTGCTAATATATGTATAATTTATTCTTATAAGTGTAACTAATACATTTTGCCTAAAAGGTGGTTCAGCAACAAAACCTAAGTGAACAATAATAGTAAATATTGCAGCTGCAATGAACCATCCTATTTAAAACTAAATATTAGTGAGTGTCTTGGGGTAAAAGGATTGACGTTTACCTGATGCTTAGCAACTAAAAACATACATCCAATAAAGACGAGTTAGGTCAATAGTTACTCAGTTTTTCCATAACATTATTATAATTTATTAGATTACATCTCTATGAAAACTTGGGCATAACTTAACTCAACTTAAAGCTTTAAAAGTTGTGAATGAAAAACACATCCCGCAGGTGAACTTGCATTAAAAGGTGTATAAATGTACATAAAAAGTATATAAATCAAAGTTTTCTTCAGACTTCATAATAACTAATATTCAGGTAATCAAAAAGACAACAGCATAAACAAATCTGGAGTAGTAGCAAAGTGCAGCCTTGACTCAGGAAATTGAGGAAAATACTTAGGCATGAATTCACATTTCATTGATTTCAACGCAAATTATTTGCTTACATTTAAGCATGTGCTTAAGAACTTTCTTGAATCAGGGAAAG